GGACCTCCATTTCAAGATAACCCCCAGCCCTGATTATTTCATTCTCAGTTCTACTCACTCTTCAGTTTTGTTTTTGCTGCTTCTTTGCCAGCAGTCTTGAATACAAGTGGATATCCTTTCTCCTCTGACTACTCTCTAGTTCCCTTTTGTTATCTTCTCTCACTTGAATATAAGCTCCTGGAGAGTAGGGACTGTCTTATTTCCTTGCATTTGTATCTCTAGCACTTGGCATACTTCATGGCATATACTAAGTACTTAACAAATATTTTATTTATCTATTCATGCTCTCCATTTTCACTTTCAAGCCTTTCTCTTGCCATAATCATCCAAAAACCATCTCTTCTCAAAAAAGTTCACCTCCTCCTGCTCAGAGCTTTGGTGTTGAAATCAATGAAACTCCAACTCTCTCTTCTTGCTCCTCCATGAACTCAGTAGCTGGCTCAGTCTTTTTTGTCCCAGCCCCTGACTCCTTCATGCACCCTGACCTCTTGGCACCTCATCACCAGCTGCCGTTAACTATCTCTTGCCAACTTCTATCAATCACTAGACTGGTCATATTTCAGATTTCCTCTGATCATCCCTTTACCTGAATGTGCCTCAGGTGTTGAAATTCCTAGTAATGGCAGTTCTTTGAACAATGGGTCATTGGACATAATAACCTATGCAGTAGTCAGAGCCACTGCAAGAATCCAATGAGACAATAAATGTAGAGTATTTTGCAACCAGGTGGCACAAGAAGAATTGACTTAATTGGCTCTTTTTTAAAAAATTAATTTATTTTGATTTATCAATAATTACTTACATAAGCTTTTGAGCTTTAAATTTCCCCCCCCCGCCTTCCTCCCCAAGATGGTGTGCAATCTTATACAAGCTATACATATACATTCCTTTTAAACATATTTTCACATTAGTGATGTTGTAAGAAAGAATTAGAACCAATAGGAGGAACCAAAAAAAAGAGAAAATGGCTTAGTTGGTTCTTTAAGTGACTCAAGAGAAATGTGTGACATAGTACTGGAAACAAACCTGTGAAGGAATAAGTACAGGAACTGTTGTACAACCACTCTTGGTCACCTTTAACATAAAGTTTCCCAAGCCCTGGGGCTTGGAATCAAGGGAGGTGGTGCCAGTGGCCATGGTGATGGCAGGCTAGAGTTGGACAGGGGAGCAGGGTTGGCAGGTCATAACTTGCCTGGGCTCTTCCAAATTCCCTTCCAAACAACCTTGCAATGATGCCTGAAAACCAATTTTGATGCAGTGAAGCAGACAACCAACCTGGGACGACTTCAGGGATGAGCTGGAAAGGTCTTTCTCACTGCAGAGAGATGCAACTGCAAAGCAGTTAAGTGAGCAAGACAGAGGCAGGCTTCATCCTAGGGGGCCATTGATTATTTCAAGGGAGTCAGGAGAAACCTTGGGATTTCAGAGCAAAATTCAACCCATTTTCAAGGTTTTATGCACAGTATGAGACTTGTGATGTCTCATGAGGCTGTGCTGCAGGAAGATATCTGCACTCATTACTTAGATCCATAAGTTTTGTCTCCAGGAAGGTTTCTGCAATGTACACACATATATGACCTCCAGGTGAAGGCCTTCTGTAGGGGAAACTGAGGAGGATAGATCCTCCCCAGCCCCCTGTGTAACCATTTCATGACCTAACAGTGTAACTGCTTCATGACCCAACATAAAGATAGATGGGAGTTACCACGCATGGGCAGAGGTGACCATGGAGACAAAAAATTAAATAATCAACAAGCTATGTTACCTGGGAAAGCAGTATATCTCAAGGAACATTTTTCTTGAGAAAGGTGTGTAACTGTCCAAGAAACTGATCACTCCTTGGAGATTTACACAACCAACAGGTATTTTGGAGCTCTGATTAAGCCCCAACTTTTGTTAAAGATGTGTGCATGCCTGGACATGAGCTCACGAAACAAAATATCAGGATTGTCTTTCCCTGGTTTACATAGTTATAAAAGGGGTCATTTGGAAAGGGATTTTTGGAGACTTTGATGTCAGAGATAGGGACACCGAATCTCTGTTGTGTGTGTTCAGAAGCAGACCGCGTGCACAGCTTCTGTTGAGTCGGAGCAGGATGCCACTCTGTCGGCCTCCCTGACCAGACCTTTTGGCCGTTCTCCAGTCTCCCCAGTCTATTAGGTATTTGACCTTACCTGGTCAGTGAGTGTGTATCCTTTCTTTTCTTATTCCTACTTTTATGTTGATTATTGCTTATTACATTGAATGTTATTCTCACCCTTATTGCTTGTGTGGTTTTTAATCATTATTAATAATTGTAAAATAAATGTGATTATTTGCTAAGTTTATCCTGAGTATGTGTATTAAGATCTTAAGATACGAACCTAAATTGAATACGTGCAGTACGTAATCCTTTCTATTACATTTGGAGTCATGAACAGGTTCTTGAGGTATAATGCCATTTCTTAGGAAAGGTAGGGAAAATAGAAATAAGGAAACTTACATACCAGGCTGGGAAACTCCCCCACAGTCCTCATTAGCTAAAGAATGTGTAAAAAGTGTCAGATTTTGTGATGAATGGGAAAGTCGGCTCAGCCAAGCAGAGCCATTAGCTGGGGTACAGTGTTCAGAAACAATACAGAATACAGACAGAGTTATGGAAGGAAAAGTTGCTTATGAGAAGGAGCTGGCAGAATTACAAAGCAAACTATCTATGCTCCGATGTCAAAATTTTATTTTGGGAGATCAAGTAAGAAATTGTCAGGGAGTAGTAGAAAAAGCTTCTATCAGAATTGCACAGTATGAATATCATAAAAGAAAAGGGAAAATTAATAAGAAAAAGGCGTGCGCATTACTTGCAACCGAGACAGCTGATTGGGACCCAGATAGACAGGTCGGAGACATCTGGGACGAATCTGAGGGGGAGGAGGAGGAGTCCTTAGATAAGAAAGCCTGGGAGGAAAAAAAATACCCAGATGTGAGTATGGAACTCAGACCAATCATTCATAGGAAGGAGGAAGATCAGGGAGGAAATAAATTGTTTAAAACTATCACTGAGGATTTTACTAAGCAAGAAATAACTAATATTTTGAATAGATTCACTCACAAGCTTGGTCAGCCTCTGATCTCATGGATGGTTAAGATTAGTGATGCAGGAGCTGGTGAATTTGGGTAGATAACAATGATTGTCTCAAGTCTGTAGGGATCAGTACTAATTCATTTGTGCAACAGGCAATAAGAGAACATAGCCTGTCAGGGATATTTGTACATGTGTAGATACATAATCTGGAGTTTTGGTGGCATGTCTGTATAAAAATGCAACTCAGAAAAATACCATACGGACTTTAGATATTATTGAATTATATTATGGTACTGCTACCCAAATTCAAAGTGATAATGGAACCCATTTTAAAGGAAAAGAAATAAATTCATATTGTACCTCTATAATTTGTCTGAAGCATTGAAGCAATTAAATGATAGACCCCCAAAAGAAGGATTAACTCTTTTAAATTGAATGATGACACCTAATTTACACATTAGGGCCCAGAGGCCAATAGACATTATTTTAAAGTGGTGGATAATAAATCCACATTCTCATGCACTGTTCCGTGGAACTGCAGGCTCTGCAGGATATGACTTACATACTCCAATGCCCTTAGATTTGCCTGTGGGCAAAATAGTTACAGTTGCTACAGGAAATGGTATAAAAATCCCTTCTGGATATTTTGGCCATATTTTATCTCATTCTAGTTTAGCATTAAAAGGTATACATATTCTTGGAGGAGTTATTGACTGTGTTTAACATCATTATGCAAAATGTGGGGCTGGAACCTGTGGTATATTCTATGGATTTAAGAATTGTTCAAGCTCAGATTCTTATAATCTAGCCAGTAGTTACTGCTATAATAATTTAGCTATTGTTGGTTATTGTTTCAATGTGTAAACTAGGCAAAAAGCTTGTCTGGGTTATGTACTGAGAATTTGCAAATGTATAGAAATCTCTAATGATTGGCTTTTTACACCAGGACAAATTTAAGTTTGAGATGTAAATCCTGGAAAAGATTTCCCTAAGCTGTGATTAGTAAAACTTGCTGTTTGAGGTAAAAGCTCATAGAATTTTATTTTGAGTTGTCTGATGGGTCATAATCCATCAATAATCAATAATCCACCATCTCAGAGAAATGCCACAAGCTACTCAGAGAAGGTGATACTGGTGAGAAGTCAGCATTGGGAAAAGCTGAGAGGACAATATTAGCCTCAGTCTAAGATGGAATCCTCCTGGCTGTTTTCCCATTACGTTCCCTTGAAAGGGAACGTTACCCACCTGGCTATTCCTGAGTCTGGCTATGAGGTGGACTTGATACTGCATGGTTGCAAAACTGAATTATCTGAATCCAAACAGAGCTAAGGATGTTTTATCCTCTCAAAGTTGGGCCCTGCAGTTTTTTCTGTCAGATTTATGTCTTCCAGATTACGGGCCATTCACCTACAGTTGGTAGCAAACAGTTGGTAGCAGAGTACCAGGCAATGTCCACACATCATTCCCTGGATGCAGCCTGTACTCAATTCCAGTCAACCTCCTCTTTGGGGCCCCCTTGAGGCAGGGACAGCTCTACAGCCCTTGCCAGCAGGAAGCAGTTTCAGAAGCCAAGACCTTCACCCCTTACTCCAAAAGAATTTGGGTCCCATTTGTTTGAGGGGGGAATGATGGGATTGGGATCTGGGCCCCAGAAAGGAAAAACCTGGACTTTGCCACATGGCCAAATCTCTGGCATTCTACTACTAGACATGGTGGATTTGGAAGTACTGATTTGGTATAAGGAGCTATAGCTTTAGTATGGGTTAAAAGATACCCTACTGACATCCCCAAAGTTGCAGAAATCATTGCTGAAGGAAATAATAATGCAGTCATAATGGCTTTCCCAGATGATAAAATGCATCATTTTCCATTCCATTTTCTGCTTTACAGAAATAATACTATTCTTTGTGACATCAATCCCTGGACAAGCAGTGGCAGACACTGGACCACGGGACTTCTGGGTCTGCCAAATTCATCCTCAAACATGAGACGGACCTCCACAATGTAAAGGATCAGCCTGAAATGCCTCAACCATATCCTTCTACCTGATATGCAACACCCTTATTTCAAGCGCAACCTGAATGAGAGACTTTTGAAAATGTACCTTGTTTTAATACTGGACAGAGATTTTATAATCAAACTTATAATGAAAGTCAACATTTTGGAAGTATATTAATCACTATGGAAGGAAAAGCTCAAGTAGGCCCCTTACATATATTTGTGTAAATGGCAATATATCCACTTTTACTTCCCCCAATTTTACTCATATAATGTGTGATAATTGTACCCAGGCTCCAACACTTTTTTTTTAAAAGGACAAATGTTTTCATGTATGTGCCAACTAATTGTAGTTATTGGTTTCCTAAATTCTACTGTATTGATAGTAAGCCCCTCTTGTAATATTTCATTATGGGGACAGGCAGTAGAACATTTATTATTACCATTCTTAATACCGTATGTGCCCCAGATGGATATATATTTGTGTGTGGAAGATCTGATATTCCTTTAATAGTGTATGAAGCTTTACCAAATTTGACTTATTGGGACACGATTCCTACATTAAATGCTTTCCAATGTTTAAGTCCATACAAAAACTATGGTCTATGTACACTAGAAGTAATAAATCCTGGAATGCAATCATACAATTATACTAATTCTGTAATCCATAATAGAAGAAGTTCTTGGGATAATTTTTTATGGTTGATACAAAAAACTACTACTTTTTTAATCCCCTGGGTAGGATATATTGATCATGAAATGGTATAGACTCATATTACCAAAACTAATGACATTTTTGCTACTTATATTATTAGTAATATCTTTATTATTGATTTTTGGACCTTGTATTTTACAATGTTTGGTTTCTTTTATTTCTGCATGACTACATTTATTATCTATCTGTAAATGAGCTCATGGATTCCCCTGTTATGGATATGTGAATTTTCTTCACTGTCAGGGTAACAAGTTTTCTTGGCCTCATCTCTTCTTAGGGGATGATGTGTGATGTTTACTGTTTGTATTAAAGTTAAGGTTTTTTACGTGTATGGTTTCTGACCAGGGTTTGGGTCGGATCTACAGGCCGAATGTAAAGGAAACTGAGGATAGATCTTCCCCAGCCCCTGTGTAACTATCTCATGACGTAACAATGTAACTGCCTCATGACCCAACATAAAGATGGGAGTTACCATGCATGGCCAGAGGTGACCATGGAGACAAAACATTAAATAACCAACAAGCTATGTTACCTGGGAAAGCAATTATATCTCAAGGAATATTTTTCTTGAGAAAGGTGTGTAACTGTCCAAGAAATTGATCACTCCTTGGAGACTAACACAACCAACAGGTATTTTGGGGCTCTGATCAAGCCCCAACTTTTGTTAAAGACATGTGCATGCCTGGACATGAGCTCACCAAGGATACATATATAAAACAAAATATCAGGATTGTCTTTCCCTGGTTTACATAGATATAAAAGGGGTCATTTGGAAAGGGATTTTTAGAGACTTTGATGTCAGAGATAGGGATGCTGAATCTCTGTTGTGTGTGTTCAGAAGCAGACCACGTGCACAGCTTCTGTTGAGTCGGAGCAGGATGCCACTCCCTGACCAGACTTTTTTGGCTGTTCTCCAGTCTCCCCAGTCTGTTAGGTATTTGACCTTACCTGGTCAGTGAGTGTGAATCCTTTCTTCTCTTATTCCTGCTTTTCTTTATATTGATTATTGCTTATTGCATTGAATGTTATTCTTACCTTTATTGCTTGTGTGGTTTTTAATCATTATTAACCATTGTAAAATAAATGTGATTATTTGCTAAGTTTATCCTGAGTACGTATCATTATGTCTTAAGACCCGAACCTAAATTGAATCTGCACAGTATGTAGTCCTTTCGATTACACCTTCCCACAATTATTGCTTTTACAAAACTTCCTTCCAGTATGAATATTGTGGTGTCTAGTGACGTGCATCTTCTGAGAAAAGGTGGGTCCTCAATGAGCACATTCACATCTTCTCTCCATGTAGATTCCTTGATGCAAAGGAAGAGATGATCTCCGGCTATGCACCTTTGCAAATGAGTAAAGATAGGGGTTGTTCATAAGGTGAAATTTCTGATGTCTAACAAGCTCTATAATCCATCTGAATGTCTCTCCACACTCATTATGGGAATATGGTTTCTATCTCATGTGAATTCTGATGGGAAATAAGGGATGACTTTAACCTGAACACTTTTCAAATTGATTAATGAGATATGTCTTCTAGAATGGATCCTCTGATGTGAGAGAAATAATTATTTCTCTCATATTAACATCCAGTTATTGAATTAGGACTAAGCTTTTCCCCCCTTTCTATTTCCTCATTCAGAAATAAGCCCCTATCGGTGATTCAGCCAGCCTTTGAAGGGCAGGGCTGATGATGAGATGAAATCTTAGACAAGAATTAAGACGACTGGGAAAGTTTAGATCTGACCAAAAGGTAAAGAGATTTCAGTCTAGGTGAATCCCGGCCCAATCTACTTTAGTCAGACAGGTGTGAGGGGAAGTGGATTCCCCCTTTTGTCTAGATTGCCCTAGGCAAGAATGGTCAGGATAGAGCTAAGTCTCTTCCTCCAAAATTGAATGACAAGTTAATCCACCCCTCATGATAATATTCATTCTCATTCATTTTTAATCAGAGTTGATTTATGGGGGCAGCTAGGTAGCCTAGTGGATAAAGCACCGGCCCTGAAGTCAGGAGGACCTCAGACCAATCACTTGACACTTACTAGCTGTGTGACCCCGGGCAAGTCACTTTACCCCAATTGCCTAAAAAAACAAACAAACAAAAAAAACTACAGAGTTGATTTATGCCACTTGGTAACACCCACTTCTCTAAGGGCATGTAAGTGTTAATATGGCTTCATAACTTATCTTTGGTTTACAAGAGATAGCTAAATGACCATCCTTTTATTAATTATTTACTAGCCATAAGCAATGAAATGATCAGCCAGAAATTATGTCTCTTGGCCTTTTCTTTCATCAGATTTGTAGAGTAAGGTGAATATACATAAAAAGTTTTATCACAGATTTCTCACCAGTGTGGGTTCTCTGATGTGCAGCAAGTTGGGAGCTTAATCTGAAAGCCTTTCCGCATTGATTACATTCATAAGGTTTCTCCCTAGTGTGGATTCTGTGATGTGTAGCAAGTAAGGAATTTAATCTGAAAGTCTTTCCACATCTGTTACATTCATACGGTTTCTCTCCAGTGTGGATACTTTGATGTGAAGCAAGAGTGGAGCTCTGTGTGAAAGCCTTTCCACACTGATTACATTCATAAGGTTTCTCTCCAGTGTGGATTCTGTGATGTGTAGCAAGTAAGGAATTTAATCTGAAAGTCTTTCCACATCTGTTACATTCATACGGTTTCTCTCCAGTGTGGATACTTTGATGTGAAGCAAGAGTGGAGCTCTGTGTGAAAGCCTTTCCACATTGATTACATTCATAGGGTTTCTCTCCACTGTGGATTCTCCGATGTGCAGCAAGTTTAGAGTTCTCTCTGAAAGCCTTTCCACATTGCCTACATTCATAAGGTTTCTCTCCAGTGTGGATTCTCTGATGTTTAGTAAGCTTGTACTTCCGTCTGAAAGACTTTCCACATTGATTACATTCATATGGTTTCTCCCCAGTGTGGATTCTCTGATGTAGAGCAAGTTTGGAGTTCTTTCTGAAAGCCTGTCCACACTGATTACATTCATAAGGTTTCTCTCCGGTGTGGATTCTCTGATGTGCAGCAAGACTGGAGCTGGAACAGAGAGCCTTTCCACACTGATTACATTCATAAGATTTCTCTCCTGTGTGGATACTCTGATGTGCAGCAAGACTGGAGCTCTGTGTGAAAGCCTTTCCACACTGATTACATTCATAAGGTTTCTCCCCAGTGTGGATTCTCTGATGTACAGAAAGATCATAGGTACGTCTAAAAGCCTTTCCACAATGATTACATTCATAAGGTTTCTCCCCAGTGTGGATTCTCTGATGCACAGCAAGTTTGGAGCTCTCTCTAAAAGCCTTTCCACATTGATTACATTCATAGGGTTTCTCTCCAGTGTGGATTCTCTGATGTTTAGTAAGTTTACAATTCAGTCTAAAAGCTTTTCCACATTGATTACATTCATAAGGTTTCTCCCCAGTGTGGATTCTCTCATGTGCAGCAAGAGTGGAGCTCTGAGTGAAAGCTTTTCCACATTGATCACATTCATAAAGTTTCTCTCCAGTGTGGATTTTCTGATGTACAATAAGCAGAGAGTTTAGTCTGAAAGCCTTTCCACATCTGTTACATTCATACGGTTTCTCTCCTGTGTGGATACTTTGATGTGAAGCAAGTCGGAAGCTCTGGGTGAAAGCCTTTCCACATTGATCACATTTATAAGGTTTCTCCCCAGTGTGGATTCTCTGATGTACAGCCAGACTGGAGCTCTGTGTGAAAGCCTTTCCACATTCATTACATCCATAAGGTTTCTCTCCAGTGTGGATTCTCTCATGTACGGCAAGTTTGGAGTTCTCTCTGAAAGCCTTTCCACAATGGTTACATTGATAAGGTTTTTCTCCAGTGTGGATTCTCTGGTGTCGAGCAAGACTGGAGCTCTGTGTGAAAGCCTTTCCGCATTTACCACATTCACAAGGTTTCTCTCTGGTGTGGATGCTCTGATGTACAGCAACACTGGAGCTGCAACTGCATACTTTTCCATAATCCTTACTTTCATGAGGTTTCCTGTCACTATGAATACTGTAAGATGAGTGTTCACTAAAAGTTTCACCACATTCCTGAGACTCAGGTGGTTTCTCTCCATCATGATTTTTTTGATGGTAAATAAGGGATGACTGTTGACTCAAGTCTTTCCCACAATGATGACCATGATAAGGTTGCTCCCCTGTGTGGAATCTGTGCAACAGAGCACACATTTGTCTCCCAGTGAAGTCACAAGGACCATCACTCATGAAGCTTTCCTGGTGAGTCTCTTTCACAGAAATGCTTAGCTTTTCAGTAGTCTCTTTCATTTCAGATCTAATCTCTCCTTCTGCAAGAAACAAACAATAAAAAGCATATACAGAGACACATGTACACCTATATATAATCATAATCCCTTCCCTCCACTGGGACAAAGTAAACTAACTGATCTATATCCTACTTCCCCAGGATAAGAGAAAAGTCTTCAAAATTAAATGGACAGAATCAGTCATTTGAAAATGCCCTTAGTTCACATCTGCAGGACAATTTAACTCACAAAGAGCTTCACACACAACCACATTGGATCCTCAAACACCTGTGACACTGGCAGACCCAGGGCTTTGTTATTACATCCTTAAGTCAGGCCATGAACTCAGAATGGCTGAGTGACCTGACCTACATCTCTGCAGCTGAGACCAAAACTCCAACCGTGCAAGGGCCATGTTCTATGCACAGAGCTAAGCAGCCTTTCTCCATTACACTTATTTTTTTGAAGAAAAATTGTTTTATTATTGCATGTTGATTGTTCGCTTCCTCTTTGGTCTTCCTATTTCCTCATTCAAAACAATATCGAGATTAGGCCTATTAATATCCCTGCAATGGGGCTTTAAGTTCAAGGGAAAAGGAGTCAATCACTGTGGCAAACTTCACTGTGGCCTTATTTTAAGAAACTACCACAGCAACCACCAACCTTGAGCAACCACCACTGGGATCAGTCAGAGGACTCAGCTTATAGTTAGGTTTTATTGCCTGTAAAATATTTTTAAAGTGTGTACATTTTTTTAGGCATAATAGCATTGAGCATGTCATAGACAACAGTATGTCACAAACATAACTTAGATATGCACTGAGAAACCAGAAATTCAGGTGATGCACTTCATTGCACTATTCACTGTACTGCAGAACTGTGGAACTGAACCTGTAGGTTTCTCTGAGGTGCTCCTGAGGTTTTTCTCATTCTTGTTTTGATTTTGACTTTTTCTTCCCTTATTCTACTCTCCTTCTTAACCATTACTAGCTTCACTCCTTGAGTTTGTTTATTTGCCACTGAACTATTCACAAACACTCTCCTTGCCCTGGATCGGCTGAGACCAAGGATCCTGATCTGTTGTTTTTTCTCAAACCATCTCAATGTTTGTATGCCAGATTGGAAACTGCTTGACAGCAGGAACTGGCTTTTCCCTTCCCAAAGCTTACTGAGGTGCCTAGAAAACTGGAGGGGCTCAATCCATGCTTATTGACTGACTGACTGACTGGGCCCAAGGCTCACACCAGGCCCCAGCCTTTACCTCAGTCCCTGGCTTCTGATCTGTCTTATTTGGCAAATGCAAGTTCTGTCCTTGGTCCAGTTTCTGGCTCTTTCTTGTACCTTATCTCCTATATTGAGTGATCTTTGGTTCTAACCCTCATGGGACCTAACCAGACCCACAGTGAAGATCACAGAGACTTCTTTTCAGGCTCCTGAGCATCTCATACAATGGGAGACTTGGGAGTTTCTACTTCCCACTTACTTCCCACTTTCCCAAACCAAGAGTGGCTCACAACTCAATGAATCAGTCTAATGATTCTCCAAGAATGGGCCAAAGATTGAGCCTTAGCGATCAGCGGAGGAACACAGGTTAATGATTTATGTAAAGCACCCCCTTAGATTAATTCTAAATAAGGCAACAGCCTTTGCTACTACTTAGATTCTGCTGAATGGAGAGAGAACAAAATCATAAAACCAAGCTGTCTGGGTACATCATTTCAGTGTGGACCTCATTGTGGCAAGCTTATTCTTTTACCCATCTCCCTAATTAACTCCCTTGGGGCAGCTAAGTGGGGCAGTAGATAGGGTACTAGTTAGACAGACTCAAGTTCAAATCTAGCCTCAGACAACTACTAGGTGAGTGACCCTGGGCAAGTCATTTAGGCCTGTCTGCCTCAGTTTCCTCATCTATAAAATGAGCCTAAAAAGGAAATGGCAAATTCTTTGCCAAAAAAACCAGATTGGATAATGAAGATTCAAAAATGACTGAAAACCACATAAGCGACGCCCCTATGTCATTCACCGAAGCAGCTTTTCTAATTCTTTTCATTCTTTCCCAACTGTCCCTTACTGCTGGCTCCAACTGTCAACCCTCCACTCACCTTCTCAGTAGAGAAATTTGCCTTTCATTTTTTCACTGAAAAAATTACTTATCAAGAGCTATGTTATCCTCCTCATCTCCTGTAAATCAAGTGCCTTTTTTTCTTTTTTAATAGCACAATCAGATAAAATGGCCATCTTTCTGCTTGCTAAAGCAAACTCCCTTCCATTTGTAAATCATCCCATTTAGGACCTTCTTTTTCTCAGTATGCAGCTTCTCCAGCATTCCCTTTTTTCACTACTTTCCAGTCTCTCCCACTCTAATGACTCTTCCCGAATGCCACAAATAAAACCATTTCTCTCTAATCCTCAAAACAGTCTTTCTTCGATTTCTTGGTTAAACAACTGGAGATGCCCACTTACAACTGCAGTCTCCAACTCCTTTCCTCTGCTTTCTCTGAAATTCTCAGCAGTCTAGCTCCCAATGTTCAATTGAAATTCCTCTCTCCAAAATGGTGAAAAATCTCAAAGTCGCTAAATCCACTGGTCATATCTTTATCTTCATCCTTCTTGCCTCCTCTACAGCCTTTCACAGTCAGTCACCCTTCTCTCTCTTTCTGTCTCTGTCTCTCTTTCAACACACACACACACACACACACACACACACACACACACACACACACACACACACACACTTTCAGTGACACTCCTCTCATTGTTCCCCAAACCAAACTCATTCTCTTTACCCCAACCCTCCCATCTTCCTATTTTCATAATGCTCTCCAAGGCATCCTCCCAATAGCATAGGCTTACAAATGAGATTCCATACACTCCTCACTGCCTCACACACACTCCTGACCCCCACATTCAATCTGCTGCAAAGTCCTCTGATTCCACCTTAGTAACATCTCTCCCACACACCCCATCTCTCCCAACACTGCCACTGTCTTGGTCCAGGCCCCAAACACCTCACAGCTCAGTTTTTCCAAGAACCTGCTCCTTGCTCCAGCTGCCTCCAGTCTCTCCCCACTGATCAAAGTTCATCTTGCTAAAGTTCTTCACTGATCATGGCCTCATGTACTCAACAACCTCCTGTGGCTCCCTGGGAAAAGATCAAATATATAATCCTCTCTAGGGCTATTAATCACCTACCCCTCCTTTACCTAGCCCACTCCTACTCTTCTACTTGTCTTTCAAATTATATTCCAACCAAACATGTTGTAATGCAGTGGTCTGAGCCTCTCTTCTGTTCTGTGAACAAGGCACTCCATCTCATGATTCTGTGGGATTTCCAAGGCCATCCCCATGCCTCAAAGGCTCGCCCTGGCTTCCCTGAAGCCCCAGCTAGAGCCCACTGACCACAATAAGCCTTTCTGGTCCTCCTTCACTCTCTCAATGAGCTCCAATTCAGCCTGACCACAACAGGTTTGTACAGTGCTCTTGGGGTGTGGTCTGCCCCATGCCTTTGAGCTCCAGGAGAGCAGAGAATGTTCCTTCTATCTCTTTATATCCCTGGTGCTTAACAGAAGGTCTGGCACATAGCAGGCATTTAAATGTTCATTGACTTGCAGAAAGTCTAAGAAAGAGCCCATATTGGAAAGCCTAACCCCTTTTTGCACTTTCAAACTATGACTACTTTTAGGATCACAGATTTATTACTGGGAGAGAGCTTAATTGCCATGGTGTCCAACTTCCTCATTTTACAGAAGGGGAAACAGACTCAGTGCGGTTCAGTGACTTGTCCAGGGACACCCTTCTAAAGGTATCCGAAAAAGAATTCAAATCCAGGTGTTCCTGCCTCTGTATCTAGCACTTCCTTTGCCACAACACCTAGAAGCCTCTTGTAATCACAGCTCTCCTATACCTGCTTTCACCTCTCTCACCTGGACAGCTGCTCCTCAGGCCTTCTTGCTCCAGCATCAATGGTCTTTCCCTTTCCTCAAAATAAGAAATCCCATATTCTCTGGGAACTGGAAGCCCTGAGCATAGAGAAAAACTTGTCATTAAGTTCTCTTTACACAAATCAGTGTACATACAAAGCTACTCCATTGAGAATTACTCCATCATGTTCACAGATGATAGGATTATTCTCCCACGAATGCTTGTAAAGCAAGGAACACAAAACAGGATGTGCCAGATCAGCCTTGACCTCCAGCAAAAGGGACCTTGATGAACAGATATTGCCCTGTCCCCTACCCTGCTCCTCACTCACAGAATCCCATGAAAACCTTGTCACTGCTCATGCAGGGAGTCATTTCCTCTTTTGGTAAGATTCTCCTGCCAGGGAACTCAAGGAACCTTAGTTCGTCTGATTCCTGGCCAGTCCATTATTCCTGCCATTGACAGGGGCATGCAAGCAAAAAGCACAGCATGAGTCCCACAAGTCCTTAAGCATGGCTTCCATAGCATTTATTTTGGGAGCTTTGGGGAGAGGTGGGGGAGAAGATCATGGAGCCAATTTGCAGTCAGAAAATTTGATCTTGGGGTACCTTTGTCCCAGGAGGATGGACTCCCTGCATGGTTTCCATTATCTAGAAATTAGAGGCAGCTGGCAGTAAGGAGGAAAGAGCCCTGGGCCTGGAGTTAGGAATGCCAGGATTTAAATCTAACCTCACACAGTTACTAGCTGTGTGCCTCTGGAAAAGTCATTTAACCTCTTTCCTTTAGCTTTCTCAAATGACCAATGGGGATAATCCCATCAGGTAATAACATAATATTGTAAAGAAAGTACTTAGTACAACAGCTGGTGAACAGCAGGTGAACAGAAATGCTTGTTCCTTTCCCACCACCTGTGCCGGAATGTGGACCTGATGTAACAGAAGATGAAGGACAAATGTGTCACGTTAGGCACAACTAGGAGCTCTGGGTACAAATTGATGCTTCTCAAAAAGAATATCCTAAGTGACTGGGCCATCCCAAAGAGGAAAGAGTTGCAAGGAAAAGACACCTGAGCACTTTTCAGAGATGTGGCAGACAAAATTCATGTCCAGGAAGGGAACTAAATAATCCATGGGATTAGTTCTACATCTGAGATGCTTCAACTTTGATCTGACGTTTGACCTCAACCTACCTAGAATTGGCAAGAGACAGCTTCAGCAGAAACAAGGAAACCTGCACGTACTGACCTTTTATAGGAGAACCAAGCAGCAGGAGGTCCTAGTCTCTTGGATACAAGAGACCAGAACTTTTCCCTTTCTACTAATTGATGACTGCTCCAAAGCCAGCACACTCAGGAATTAAGATACTCCCTTGATAGCACACTCAGAGCTGCCAGAGGAAATGTCCTTACCCAGGGAGAGAAGGTTCCGGGCATTCTCCAGCATGACGTCCTTGTACAACTTCTTCTGAGGATGGTCTAAGAGGGCCCACTCCTCTGGGGTGAAGTCCACAGCCACATCCTGGAATGTCACCAGCTCCTAAACCATCAAATGTTACAAGATTGAGAGATGAAAGACTCCAGAATTCATGCATCCTAACCCTCATTAAGTGAGAGGAGGAGACTGAAGCATAGAAAGGGGATTTACCCAAAAGTCATATCCTTGTTGAGTATCAGAGTCAATACTAAAAACCATCATCACGAAGAGTTCAATGAAATACGGAGAAAAGTATTTGATGTGATCAGTGGGAATAAAGTTGAGAAATGTTTTACTATGGAATGTGTCTCTCTGTGGAATCTGGGATAAAGTGCATGTTTTGTCTGTGAGGTAGAAGGATCACTGCAGGAAAAAGAGATAAGGTGATGCGAAATGTCTTCCTTATCAGAACTGATAAAAAGCATTATGTTATGAAGAAAATTCTGTGAAAAGTGTGTGAGAAGCTGGCAAATACAACATATTTGGGGGGAAAGAGGGGATTCATGTTTCATTGTAGAAAAGAGAGGAAAGGAAAAGAAAAGATCTAGTTAATTTCCTGAGAGGCTGAAACAAAGTCTCATCTAGATAAGACATGAAAAGGATTCATACAGCATGCTAACTACTATCTGGACTGAACTAAGGGATAGGAGACTTTCCAGCCAAGTGAAGGAGAGTTATCTGTCATTACATTGAAGGCTCGAGGCTACCCTGGGCATGATGTGTCATGGCCAAAACATCTTATGCCTTCACTTTATGACTGCTTTCATTTGTCAATAACAGATTTCTTTATTACAATATTTAATTATGTAGTTGGTCATTGTTGTTGTTCTTTGTGCTCCAAGAGGACAAAAATGACATCACTACATCAGGGTCAAAGTACAGTGTGTCTGATCATGGATGATCTAAGAGAGCCCGCAAGGCTCTACCATATATTGGGGACAAACAGTCCATGTGAACATTTGGGGTGGAGATGGCTCTAAATTTGCACATCTCACCATTCTTTTGAGCTACTGCAATTCTGCTTTGCTAGAACAGCACAGTACATTCTTTGATGTGGGCTTTGCCAGTGTCTCCCATGTCTCACAACTGATTACAAAATTCTTCAGAGTCCCCTTGGGAATGTCCTTGTATCACTTCTTCTGACCACCTTGTAAGCACCTTCTTTGCATAAGTTCTCCACAAAATAGTCTTTTAGGCAAACATACTTTTGGCACTTGAACAACATGGACAGTCATCGGAATTGTGCTCTCTGCAGTAGAAGGTGATGGCTTGGCAATCTAACTTGAGAAAGGACCTCAGTATCCAGGACCTTATCTTGCCAGATGACCTTCAGAATCTTCCTAATACAATTCAAATGGAAGTGATTCAGTTTCCCGACATGGCACCGCTATACTATCCAGCTCTTACAGGCACATAGCAATGAGGTCAGGACAATAGCTCTGTAGACCTTCAGTTGGGTATGCAGCCTAAAACCTCTTCTCTCCCACACTTTCCTTGGGAGCCTCTCAAACACTGAGTTCTATCTGGCAAAACAAGATGAAAATGTCTTTATACTTGTGAGCAGTCATCTATAACTCCAATCTGCTTCATGCACAAAATGTGCTTGGCCAATTTGATGGTCCTTCCATTTCCATCATAAGGACATGATTCACTTTGTTGGAAATTCTGATATTTGGGAACAATTCTCCATCATATGTGCAAAATTGCCCTTTCCTTTTTTATCATTTTGGTTTCTTCTTTAAAACACCTGACTCATAATATAATTTTTTTAAACTAATATATCACCTTTCAATTCCTGTACTCTGTTATTTTACTTGGGAACAGTTAAAGTATTTCTTGATCTTTTACACTTTGAGATTCCCAAGAATTTATATATTTTTTTAAAACTGGGGTCTTTTGAGTCACACTGCACACTATTCATCACGTGGGCTTTCACTGCAGGAATGTATTCCTCTTATTGACTGATAACTGATTTCTGATTCCCTAACTCACACCTAACAAAAGCCATTCCAAATCTTTTTCTTTTGCAAGGTTGGCACCTCCACCTCTCACCACTGCTGGATGGAGTTATGAACTCCAAATCTCCATTTAATGAAAAAGGTATCTCATCTCTCCCCTAACTCAACATTTTTGAGATTTCTCTGACTGACTGCTCCTTTGTGCCCCTGAACTGGGGTGCCTTCTCACTCCAACCCATTTCCATCATTTTTTTATGTTGGTCTTCCTCTGTTAGACTGTTAGGTCCTTGAAGCTAAGTGAGTTCTAGAAGCCATCAGGAGAAAGACTTTCAAATACAACGGAAAGGACACTGAAATATGCAAGACTATTTCAAAATCACTAGAAATAAGGAGGGAAGTAGGAGAATGTTTCCAGAGAGGAGTGAAGCACAGTATGCCGACCAGGGAGACATATCCTGCAAATATGAATTTAGCAATGTGGGACAAAAAGTGGATGTTCAATGATAAAAAAAATTGTCAAATATTTTTATAAAGAAAATCAAAACTGAAGACATTATTTGTTTCTTTGTGCCCCACGGAACTTTTGTAAAAATTAATCATGGACTAGGGCAGAAAGATACTGCAAATGAATGTAAAAAGACAGAATTCATCAATATATCCTTTCATTCCATAATAAAATAAGAATGGAAATTGGTTCAGGGACAACAAAAAAGTCAAGCTCAAATGCAGATTTAACAATGATTTTGGGGGCAGCTAGATGGCGGAGTGGATAGAACACTGACCCTGAAGTCAGGAGGACCTGAGGTGAAATCCGGCCTTAGACCAAACACTTGACATTTACTAACTGTGTGACCCTGGGCAAGTCACTTAACCCAATTGCCTAAAAAAGAAATGATGTTTACACTTTTAATACTATAATATTGAAATTATGGGGGCAGCTAGGGGACACAGTGAATAGAATGTTGAGCCTGGAGTCAGGAAAATCTGATTTCAAATTTGGGCTCAGACCCTTGCTAGCTGTGTGTGATTCTGGGCAGGTCAGTTAACTCTGATTCCCCCAAGTTCCTCAACTGACAAATGATCTGCAGAAAGAAAAAGAAAACCACTCCAATATCTTTGCCAAGAAAACCCCAAATGGAGTCACAAAGACTTGGACGTGATTGAAGAACACCATCAATAACAATAACAAAATTAAGAAGGAGATATTTTACAGGGCTGAAGAAAATAACAAAATTCATTTGGAAACACAAAAGACCTACAATAATATCAAGGGGAATGATGAAAAGAAGTGAGGATAAAGAGGGAAGGGATCTTCCAGACCTCAAACTGTAGCATACAGCATTAGTCATCAAACCATGTGGTACTGATAAAATAAAAAAGGGAAATTCAGAATCATTAGAAATCAGTTAAATTCAATGTTTGATAAAGTGGGAAACAGATTACTTAGGGTAAAACACCTTATTTAGTTAAAAAAAACTGCTGAGAAAAATGTAAAGCAGTCAGGAAGTAAATTAATATTAAATCAACATCTTGGTAATACTCTACAACACATTTTATATGGTATTTTCTTGGCAAAGAAATTATTGAGGAAAAGAGATCTGATATCTTAGAACCAGAGAGTAAAACAGAAATGGAAAGAATCCACCAATCACCTCCTAAAAAAGATCTCAAAATGAAAACTCTCAGGACTATCACAGCCAAATTCCAGAGCTCCCAGGTCAAGGAGAAAAGAGTACAAGCAACCAGAAAGAAGCAACTCAAATGCCATGGAGCCACAGTCAGGCTAACACAAAAGTTAGTAGGTTTTATATTAAAAAAAATGAGAGGGTGTGCAATATGATATTCAGCAAGACAAAGAAACTAGCACTATGACCAATCATCACAAACACAGAAAAACTGTATAATCCTTCATGGGGGAAAAAAAATGGACATTCAATGGAGGATAATCAAACATTCCTAAGGAAAAGAACCAGAGCTGAATAAAAAAATTTGATCTTCAGATACAAGACCCAACGGATGCATCAAAAGCTAAACAGGAAAGAGAAAACAGAAGAGATTCAATAAGGTTAAATTATTTCTATTCCTACATTGGAAGATGATACCTGTAACTCTTAAGTCTTTTATCATGATTAGGGCAATTAGAAGGAGTACACATTGACAGTATACATTGACTATGATGGGATGATATTCAAGAAAACACACGTAAGGAGTGAGAAAGAGAATTGCACTCCAAGAAGAAAGAAGGGAAAGGTGGAGGGGGGTGAATTATCTCACATAACAGAGGCAAAGAAGACCTCTTGCAGTGAAGGGGAAGATGGGGGTGGTGGGAAAAGGGGGCTTGAGCCTCACTCCTATCAAAATTGGCTCAAGGAGGGAATAACATACAAGCTCAGATGCGTATAGAAATCTATCTCATCCTATAGGGAAGTAAACAGGGATAGGGATAAGGATGGGGGGACTGATAGAAAGAAGGGCAGATTGGGGAACGGACTGGTCAGAAACAAAAGCCTTGTGAGTAGACACAGGATAAAAGGTGGGAGAAGAGACAGGCAGAAAGACAGAGAGGAACATGGAGAGGGGAGGAGCAGAGAGGGAGAGAGATAAGGGGAAACAGGATGGAAGGAAATACAGTTAGTTATGATAATTATCAATATCAATGGAATAAACTCACCTACAAACTGCATTACTAGATGTAAAATGGATAATTTTGATTGTATTAAATTAAAAAGGTTTTTTTGCAGAAACAAAATCAATGCAAACAAGATTAGAAGGAAAGCTGACAATTGGGAAAAAAAATTTACAGCAATTATTTCTGATAAAGGCCTCATTTGTCAAATATACACAGCATCGAGTCATATTTGTAAGAACATAAGTCATGATCCAGTTAATAAATGGTGAAAGGATGTGGTCAGGCAGTTCAGACAAAGAAAACAAAGCTATATATGGTCATAGAAAAATTCTCAGATGCAAATTCAAACAACTCTGGGTTACCACCTCACACCTATTTTATTGACTAATAAAACAGAAAAGGAAAAATAATAAATATTTGAGGGAAGTAGGAAAACTGGGACAATAATGCACTGTTGTTGATTTGTGAACTGATCTAACCACTCTGGAGAGCAATTTGGAACTATACTCAACAGGCTATAAAACTGCATAACCTTTGACCCAGAAACAACATTACTAAGTCAGCATCCACAAAAGACTTCTAAGACATTATTGGTTTTTTTCCTCCCCTTCCTCCTTTATAGAACTGCTTAACATTCAAACAGTCTGTTGTGAAGAACCTGATTTGCACTCCATAGTGTTTATAAAAAAATATAAAACAAAAACAACTCTAATACCAAATCTCTTTAATTCAGTGTATGTGAGCAACTTAAAATATGTACTGTCTAAATTCATTTAAGTCTTATTGTATATTCCTAGAAAAGCTAAAGCAAAAATCAGTACTAGACCATGCAAGACTGTCAATGACAACAAAGACAACATGAATCAGCATCTCCTACACTGGTTGGATTGCATACTTCAAATTACTGTAAAATGCATTCAGACAACTTTGATATTTTAAAATCAGCATAAAAGGCCCTCTAACCTATGCAGGTTTAAAGTTACACATACAGAAATGCAAGCATGTTTTGCTCACTCCATATGTAACAGAAGCCCTTATGTTGTACTATATCCTGTGCTTTTTTTGTGGGACCATTCCATTCAGGAACAAAGAGCACCATGATTCCAATCCATGTGTATTTACTACTAACCCTTCCCTGAGGTTAGTGTATGTTGGATATTGTGGTGTTTTAGATCACTGAGTGTACAGAAGAGAGAATACAAACAAAATATTGCTCTTCAGTTTTGAGTGTGCAATTTAAAATTGCTCAAATCTAAAACAAATTACTAGACTGTGAAAAAAAATTATTCTATACATTATGACTAATGTGAAAATATACTTAATATGAACATATAAGTAGAGCCCATATCAGATTGCACGCCATCATGGGAAGGGGGGAGGAGAAGGAAGAGAATAAAATTTAAAACTCAAAATCTTATGGAAGCCAATGTTGAAAACTAAAAATAAATTAATCAACTAGTTTTTAAAACATTTTAAAAAACAGAAAAGGATCTATGTAATAGCTCTTTTGGTGATAGCAAAGAATTAGAAATTAAGGAGAAGCCCATTAATTGGGGAATGTCTTCACAAGCTGTGGTACATGATTGCAACAGAATACTGTAGTGTCATAAGAAATGACAAGCAGGATGATTTCAGAAACATCCAGAAAAACTTCCATGAATTGATGCAGAGTGAAGTGAGCAGAACCAGGAGAATACTGTGCAAATTAACAGCAATACCATATGATGAAGAGTGAATAACTTAGCTATCCTCAGCAATACCATGATCCAGGACAATCCAAAAGGACTCATGATAAAAAATGCAATCCCCCCTCAGCAGAAAAACTGATTGAGTCAGAATACAAACCTAAAGCATACTATTTTTCACTTTCTTTCTTTATGGTTCACGTTTTCTTTCACAAAATGACCAATATGGAAATGCTTTACATGTTTGCTTATGTATAACCTGTTTCTGATTACTTACCATACGCAGGAGAGGTAAGAGTAAGAAGGCAGGTAGAGAATTGTGACCTCAAATTTTGGGAATAAAAGATGTTTTTATATGTAATTGAGGAAAAATGGGGGGAAATGAAATATTATTTAAAAAGAGCCTAACACTCAATGGCAGATAGGTGGCACAGTAGATAGAGCTCCAGGCCTGGAGTCAGAAAGATCCAAGTTATAATTTACCTCAAACATTTACTTGCAATGTGAACCTGGGTAAGTCACTTAAGCATATTTGCCTCAGTTCCTCCTAAGTCAAACGAGCTGGAGAAAGAAATGGCAAACCATTCTAGTACTCTGGCAAGAAAATGCCACTGATTATCACAAAGAGTCAGACAAGACTGAAGCAATTGAAGAACAGCAAACAGCCTTTCCCCAATAGATAAACGGTCAAAGGATAGGAACAAAAAATTCTCAAAAGAAGAACTGCCAAGTATTCCCAAGCACATGAAAAAAGCCTCCAAACAACTAATAAGAGAAACATAAAAACCAAAACCCTGAAGTTTCATCTCATATTCTGCAAAATTTGCAAAAATGACAAATAGCACAAGTCAATGTTGGAGGAGTTGTGTGAAGATGGGCACATTAATACAATGTTGATGGAGTTATGAAATGGTAGGAGATCATGAAGATCTGAGTTCAAATCCAGCCTCAGACACTTACTAGTTAGGAGACCCTGGTTGGTAAGTCACTGAACCTCTGTATCTCTCAGTTTCCTGAACTGTCAAATGAAGATAATCAGAACACCTACTATATAGGGTTGTTGTGAAGATGGTCAAAGGTGTATTTTCAGGAGAAAGTAAGTTACTTCATTATGTCTTTGCCTTTGAGCCTGATGCCTCATTGATAGAAACTGAGTGTCTTCTTCACTACCCTTCTTTCCCCCATCAGAAGAGAAAATTGCCAGAATTTTGAATAGTTCCCCAAACTCAGCCCTTTCCTATATCCTCTCCAACAAGGGAAGTACTAGGTCCTTAACAAATGCTAATCAATTAACAGCTAAAGAAGGTACCCTTTTCTTTGGCCTGATCCAAATAGCTCTGATAAGGGTCTTTGAACGTGTCAATGTGACCCTGATACTGACTTCACCTGTTTTCTTGAGTTGCCATATTTTCCTGAAAACACTGGACCAGAGGATGCAGGAGGCCAGGAACATCCCCAGCCCCAGCTCACAGTATTTGCTCCTTTCAACCCTCACTACCCTCTCAGTGTGCCCTTGAGAGTCAAACCAGCTACCAAGACATGAGTGTGCACCAGATATTTCAACTGTTTGTGCAAAGGAGCTAAAAGACAAGACCCCTACAGAACAGAGTGGAATGACTGAAGTGATCTTCCCCGCATCTCAGGGATCATGAGGGAAAATTTAACAACAACAAAAAAAAAGGACACAGGTAGAGAAGCAATTAGGGGGGTTGGAGGGTGGTTAGTGCTTGTGATGCCAAAGTGCCATGAATCAATTCAAAGTACAGAAGGAGAGAACAGGGTGGTGTTGTTACTACTGTTTTCAATTTCCCACCTATTTTTGTAAACAAACAATCCTTAGATAGGGGATTGCCAGCCTCACAGACCATCCTCTTTGTCTGTGGAAATGGCCTCTTTGCTGATGTTGGTAAAGTCTGTAGACAGAGTGCACTCACCTGGGGTAGGGGTCTGCAGCTCCCAGGGGCCATTCCCTCTGTCTCCTGGCTCCCTGCTTGGGCCAGGCCTTGGTCTTCAGCACACACACCTGGGGAGGGAAAAGGATCCCAGGGCAGGAGGCCAGCCTACAGAAATTCACAGGGAGTGAGGCCCTGACCTCAGGGCAGAGACTGCAACTTACAGGTAGGGCCAGGCTTGGAAAAGACGGCCACACCCTCTCCAACTCCTTCTCTTCTGTCCCCTTCCTTTCCCCCATTCTCCTTCAGAGAACCAAGAGGCAGAAGAGGAGTGGAATCCCAGATCGGATGAGACCAGTCAAAGCCTCAATGGCTCCTGAATCAGGGATCTCCCTCTGATGGGGTATGGAACCTGGACCCCAAAAGAGCAATGCAGCTCCAGAACTTTCCCACCTATCCCCACCTAGATACTCAATAATCCTTTCACCTGTCCTTTCATTGTGGCCCCTTCCTGGTCTATTACCTCTGGATCATCCCAGGGTACTTCCCACCCCTTAATGCTTCTAGACCCTTTCTCTGTTACCTCTAGATTACCCCCAAACTATTTACCACCCCTAGATCCCACCCCAAATCTTGCCACAGTCTTAATGCACAGATTCTTAAAATCTTGCCCACTTCTAATGGTGACACAATAAACCTTGTCTCTGTCTCAAAGAAGGCTTAAGTGGTCAAATTCTTTTGAAATAGATCCTTACCCTTGCAGTTTGGGGTTCACTCAAGCCTTTCACTTGTATTTCACGCAAAACAGGATTCAAGAGTCCCTGTAGATAAGGTTTGAATTTTGGGGAAAGATGACCCAATCCTAAATCGGGAGAGGGTGACCCCACATTTATGGAAGTGACTGGGAGTCTGGAAAAGAGTTAGCAGGGAGGACCTTGTCCACCAGCCAGGCTAGGGAGGGAGGACTGCTCCAGGTGGACCTGGAGGGCACTCACCACATGGTCAGAAGACAAGGATAAGATCCAATAGTATAAACAGTCAGCAGAAACCAGCAGGTTTGTGAGGGGCTAGCTCAGACCTACCTGGGACCTGCATCCACAGAGCTGGTGTCCAGAAGGCACAGATCTCAGGGCAAGTGAAGGCAGTGTGATCTCAGCTCTAAGGGAAGGCAGAGAGATCTCAATTTTGAGGAAAGAAGGCAAAGATCTCAGTCACAGGGAAAGCAGAAACAGTTCAGCTACATGGGGAAAGGCAGAGCAATCTCAGGACAAATATTCATGTTTTCAGCCAGCCCGCTCTGGGAGGGTCCTCCCACGCTCTATCCAGCTTCTGAGGCCCCAAGAAAGGGCTCTTTCTTCCAATCACACCCAGGGCCAAGTGCTAGAGACTCTTTCTGCCTCTCCTCCAAAAGCCCTGCCCTGCATCACCTGAAATGCCTTAGCCACTAGAATGAATCCTCTTCCACCCCAGACTCCTCCCAGGCCTCCAAACTCCACCCCAGAGCTCCTATTCCACCTGAGCCACCACCCACCAGTCTGGGCCTCTCAGAGAGCTCCTCCTCCTCCATGCCTCCATCATCTGATTCGCGAGTTTAGGAGGTGGAAAGGGGAGAGCAAGGAACAGGCAGCCTGCAGAATTCCAGACAAACGTGATTGACAGCAAAACAGAGTTTAGTTTCAGAATGGAGGTTGTTCACAAACTGCAGTCAGTTTCATTAGCACATTTCTCCTAATTTAAAGTAGAATTGTTAGGAATCACTTCTATAGAAAAAACAAAGACTCCCGAGGTAGATGAGGCAAGCTCATTTATTACATCTTCTTGCAAGAAGCAGGTGTGCTGCTAGAGGCAGACACCCTACCGAAGGGAAAGCAAGCAGTTATATTACTGTCCACAAAGGCCAGATCCCCCCCTCTACATACAACATTGGCCTAAAATTGTGTTAATCCTCTCCCCCCCAGGAGAAGATAACATTCATAGACATGTTTAGCATGCACATTTTGAGCAATTTGTAACCTCTGTCCTACTTTTCAGCACTGCTAACCACACTACTAAGGTCAAGAGGTTTTTTTTCTGTTAAATTGCTAAAAATAATTCTTGAGTAAGACTGCTCCTTCTACCCCTGTGACAACTTCTGAATTCCCTTGTTTAGTACCACTTCCTCTACATTTGTGGAAACATAACTTCTTTTACCTTACAGAATGTGAGCTCATTTAAAGTCAGATCCCAGGAGGATAATTGGGACATTTGACCAGCTCAGGGCAGATCTACCTTTAATGTAAAATACACTTAAAATCCGGTCAGCTCTACCTGATTGTCTGGATATCAAGCAATACAAAACTGAGGCGCAGGAGGAAGGGAGCATCTCAGATATTTAAGATGATCAGAGGCCCATTTCATTAGAGAAAGCCATGGACCCTTTCATCAAGTGCTGTTGGGCCAGAGCTCTACCTCAATTTCTTTTAGGTTGGGCAATTTTTAATCCCTACATTTCACTCATTTTAATATTTAATTACAGAGAATTAAGGGTGACTGTGGAGAAAGGAGGGTTCATTCATTAAAAATGTAGTATTTTATCAACTAGGGTTAAAGTTAATGCATAGCAAAGACTTTGACAAATTCTTTATGGAAAACAATTCGATTCTGCTGCCAGAAATCTACAATATTGGGATCAGGAGTGAAGAGGTCAACTGATGGATAGCAAACAAGAGAGCAGCCACTTCTGCAAATCCACCTTTTACAAGAAGCCTCTCTTGGTTTACTTTTTCCCTTTTATTTCCTAAAATTTACCTTATACATATTTTGTATGTAGGAAACAAAACATCTCTTAATTAATTCATTTTTAGTTCTCAACATTCACCTCCATAAGATTTTGAGTTCCAAGTCTTCTCCTCATCTCTCCCTTCCCCCACCCCAAGACAGCTTGCATTCTGAATACCCCTTCCCCTAATCAGCCTTCCCTTCTGTCACCACCCCCACCCCCTTCTCTTCTCCCCTTTCCCTTCTATTCTCCCAGAGGGCCAGGTAGATGTCTGTATCCCATTGCCTGTATGTCTGACTGCTCAGATGTATGTCAAAACGATTTTTAATATTTCTTTGAGTGCCAAATTCTCTGCCTTCCTCTTCCCCACCCACCTTCATTGAGAAGGCAAGCAATTTGATATAGGCTATACAAGTATAGTCATGCAAAATACTTCCATAATAGTCACTTTGTGAAAGCCTCCATCCTATCCCACCACCTTTATTCTGTTCTCTCCTTTGACCCTGTCCCGACTCAAAAGTGTTTGCTTCTCATCTGCCCTCCCTTCTATCATCTCCCCCTCTCTTACCCACTTCCCTGCTATGTTCCTGTAGTTTGAGATAGTGTGAATAGTAAGAAAAGATTATATTTCCATATAAGGAAATAGCTCTGGCTGAGGAGCTTCAAAAACCAGCTAAAATCAGGTGAAACTGGTAGTGTGGTTGGGGAGGCTGGAAGCAGGACAAAGGTTAAGCTTTACTTAGAGTTCACATACCTAATACACTCCTGAATACTAGCTTCTCCTACTCTGGGCAGGGTTAAGACACCATTTTCTAAACATGTGATGTGTGAAGAAGGGGAAAAACATCCCAAGGGGAACATGTGGTGGGCATTTCAGGAAGTCTGTGACCTGTGCTAGTCCTGACTTCTACCAATGAAAGTCAGCCAGGAGGGACTTGCAGCCAGGAATAGGGATACACAGTTTGCTCTCCCTTCTGTAGTGTGTGCTCTGCTCCAGTTCCACACCTCCATCCTGCAGGAAGCCTCTGAAAGGTTTCCACTGCTTCACTCATCCTGAGTCTGTCTAACTTACTTTGCCTATTTGAGCACCAGAAGTTATTCCCAACAATAGATTTCCATACCGAATTGAGTTTGTATGTTTTTCCCTCCTTAAGCCACATCCAAAGAGAGTAAGATTCACTCCTTCCCTCTCACCTTCCTCCTCTTCCCCTCCATTGTAAAAGTTTCTTCTTGCCTTTTATGGGAGATGATTTTTCCCAGGGCTGGGAGCAGACCTTGCTCCTCTCACACCCAGGTCCTACAGACCTTTCCTACTGATCTTCTAAGTTGTCTTTGGCATTTGTGGGTTAAGAAGTCTGGAAATCACTACAACTCCCCATGATTCAATCCCCTGAGGCCTGCTCCAGGTTCACTGGGACCCCATTTTTGCCTGCTCTGCCTGCACTGAACTGTGCTCCTCTCCCAGCCCAGTGCAACAGACCTTTCTCAGCGACCATCTAGGTTGTCTTGGGCTGGAAATCTGTTTCACTCTGTCTTTTTCTGGGTTCTGCTGCTCTAGAATTTGTTTAGAGTCATTTTTTAACAGGTGTGGACCTGAAAGTTGATTAAGGAGACAAGCTAGGTAAGAAGTAAATTCATATTGTTTTATTTCCTTAAGTTAGTAGCATGTAACATGTATGTACATGGAGCCAGAGGTTTAACTCTGCCTGAATCAAGCAATTTTAGCAGGACATTTAAACCCTGATTCAGGCTGTCTGTGTTAATTGATAGGCAAATGTCAGATCCAGGATATCTGAGTTTCCTTTACCACCACAGAATATCAAGACAAGAAAATCCCATTATGCAAGGTAGTGTCTGAGTGACCTTAGTGGTCATAAACAGAAGAATGCTCTTCATCAGCTTTAGCTGTTGACACAGGAAGGGGCATTCTCAGTTCAACCAGGAAGAAAAGATGAATTCAGGTTTTTGGCCCTTATTGGGGCTCAATTGATCTTAAATGGTTTCACAGGTATTTGCAGGGTTTTGGGGGAGAGCTCAAGCAAGTCACTGCTTTTACTCCACCCCCAAAGCATTTCTTAGGTGTCTACTCTGTGCCACGCACAAGTACTTTACAAATATTATCTCATCTTATCCTAACAGTAACTGCTACATAGACAGGTCCCACTGCTACCATTTTACAGAAGACAAAATTGAGACCAGTTCTCTAGGAAGTGGCTGAGGCCAGATTTGGACTCAGGTTTTCCTGAATCCAGGCCCAGAACTCTATCCACTGTACATCCTGGATTCTGATTTTGTATGTATGTGTGTATGTATGTATGTATGTATGTAGTTATTTACGAAATGCCTCCTGTTTTCTTTTTCTTTTCTTGGCATTCCAGGAGCCTGTAAGTTGCTTGGTTCATAGCAGATGCTTAATAAACCTTGTTGACTTGTTAACTTGACTAAACCAATGGGTTTAATGTAGAAAGTAAGCTCTTTGGGGCAGGGGTTGTTTCCTGGCACTTTGTACCCCCAGCACTTAGCACAATGCCTGGCACATAATCAATGCCTGTTGAATTGCCACAAGTGAGTTCCAAGATCTTTGGGACTGAAGCCATTTTCTTGTTTTCTGCATTCTAAGATGGAGCAATATCGATTGTATTCAAGTAGGGGGTCCTGATTTGAATCAAGGCTGGGATCTCCTGTGCCTGAGATGGCTCAAACATGTAGCTGCCATCCATAATATTCCAGATGAAATTTGATGATTTTCCTAAACTACTTCATTGCTTTCTTTAAGTAACTTCTTTCCAAGGCTGATCAGATTTCATGGCCTTGCCCAAAAGAAAGTCCCAAGGTACTTCCCTGCTGAGTCCCCAAAGAACTTCCCAGGTAAGGAGAACTTTCAGGCTCCCTTTTATGTTTCCCAAACAGAAAGTTCTTCTTCTCATTACTATTATTGATTTTGAAGCAAAATATACCTAATTGTATACATAAGTTTTTAAACATTGTAGCCACACACTTTATCAGCTTAATTCATGATTTAGCAGCATCTGGTTGAAAAGAGGAGTCAATTTCCTAAAGATACAACTGGATCAGTTTCTAGGAATTATTTTTCAAATTAAAAAAATTAAAATAAAAGAAGCAATAGATGCATAATAAGAATATAAATAATATAAACATGTTGCCAATCAAATAACATCAATTCATTTGAATGCATTTCTGAATTATCTTACACAGAAAATCACTTTATTATGTTATTATGTCATACTGTTATTATGACATCTAAAAGGGGGTATACTTAGACAAAGGGCATAGGTATAAGTTGACTTTGAAATGATGCTAAAAAAAATCTAAATAAGTGGTGAAAAGGGATTGTACTGGAAGAAGAGGAAAGGAGGAGGAAGACAAGGATAATTTACATCATATGAAGAGCCACAAATTTCTTATTTCTACTACTAGTAATAGTAATTCTACTATTATGGTACAGGGAAAGAAGGGAGGGACATGACCATTGTTTGACCTTACTCTCATCAGATTTGTTTCAAAGAGGGAATAGAATAATCAGTTAGGTATAGAAATCTAACATACTATAAGAAGTAGGAGGGAAAAGGGAAAATAAGGGAGAGAAGAAGGGGAGAGGG